CAAATGGTGCTAGTCAAATTGAATATGTACATATAAAATTGGATAGAGTTTATTATCTGGAACAAAACACAACTCCAAACACATTAATAATCTTAGCATAGGACTTAATATCCTGAATCTGATAGAAGAGAAATTACGAAATATACTTCAACTTATAGACACAGGAAATGACATTCTGGTTTTTGTTTGTTTGTTATTTTTAGGGTTTTTGTTTGTTTGTTTCTTTGTTTGGAGACAGTGTTTCTCTGTGCAGCTCTGACTGTCCTGTAACATGATTAATGAAATTTCAGAGAAAGATATTAGGGTTCAAGGTTGAAGATCAGACAAGCAAAGTAGCCAACCACTAGCGCTTATCTCTACCTCAGAACAAAATGGGTGATGCTGTCTCTACAAATCCTCAGTGTGCAATACAGACTGTACTGCTCTTCACCAAGCCTCACACTACAACCCTTTCAGATTGTGTCTCCTCCCTCCTTATATCCCTATCTCTACCCAGCCATATCCCGGTCTCCAACTCCCTACTGTTGGCATTAAAGACACGTGATCCCACGTGCTGAGGTCACCTTCATGTGAGCTGTTTCTATTTTAGATTGGATCAATTTGTGTAGCTCAATGTGGCCTTGAACTAACAGAGATCTGTCTGCCTCTATCTCCTGAGTCCTTGGATTAAAGGTGTGTACCACCACCGCCTGGCATTTATAGCTATAGGTAGCTTTGCAGTTTGATCCCTAGTGGCTTTATTAGATCATAAACAATATATCACCACACTGCCCCGGAATTCACTCTGTAGATCAGGCTGGCCTAGAACTCAGAGATCCACCTACTTCTGCCTCCCAAGTGCCACCACAGTCTGACTGGAAGTGACTCTATGAACAGGACCGCAGTTTTTTATTCAATTCCGTTGGTCTAACAGTCTATTTTTATGCCAATACCAAGCTGATTTCAGGACTATAGCTCAATAATAGAGATTGAAGTCAGAGATCGTGATGCCTCCTGAAGTTCTTTTTTTTTTTTTTTTTTTTTTTTTTTTTTTTTTTTTTGTGCATGGTTGTTTTTGCTATCCTGTTTTGTTTTTATATATTTGTGCATTGTGTTTTCAAGGTCTGTGAAGAATTGTGATGGGAGTTGATGGGGATTGCATTGAATCTGTAGATTGCTTTTGGCAAGATTGCCATTTTTACTATGTTGATCCTACCTATCCAAGACCATGGGAGATCTTTCCATTTTCTGGTGTCTTCTTTAATTTCTTTCTTGAAAGGCTTAAATTTCTTGCTATACAGGTATTTCTTTCACTTGTATGGTTAGTGTTACCCCAAGATATTTTATGTTGTTTGTGGCTATTGTAAAGGGTGATGTCTGAATTCTTTCTCAGCCCCTTTATCAACTGTATATAGTAGGGCTACTGATTTTTTTTTTTTTTTTTGAGTTAATGTTGTATCCTGCCACTTTATTGAAGGTGTTTATCAGCTGTAGGAGTTCCCTGGTAGAGTTTTTCAGGTCACTTATGTAAACTATCTTAACGTTTGAAAATAGTGAAAATTTTGACTTCTTCCTTTCCAATTTGTATCCCATTGATCTCCTTTTGTTGTCTTATTGCTCTAGTTAGAACTTCAAGTACAATATTGAAGAGATACAGAGAGTTGTCAGCCTTGTCATGTTCCTGAATTTAGAGGAATCAAGTTGAGTTTTTCTCCATTTAGTTTGATGTTGGCTGTTGGTTTACTGTATATTATGTTTAGGTACATTCCTATTATCCCTGATGTCTCCAAGACCATTATCATGAGGAGGTGTCAAAGGCTTTTTCAGCATCCAGTGAGATAATCATATGGTTTTTCTTTTTCAGTCTGTTTATATAGTGGAGTACACTGATAGATTTTTGTATGTTGAACCATACCCACATTCCTGGGATGAAGCCTACTTGGTCATGGTGGATGATTTCTCTGTTCTATTCTTGGATTCAATTTGCCAGTATTTTATTGAGGATTTTTGCATCAATGTAAATGAGGGATATTCGTCTGTAGATCTCTTAGTTGTGTCTTTGTATGGCTTGTGTACCAAGGTAATTGTAACCTCATAGAAAGAGTTTGACAATGACCCTTCTGCTTCTATTGTGTGGAACACTTTGAGGAGACAGATGCTAGCTCTTCTTTGAATTTCTGGTAGAATTTTACACTTTTTTCTTTTTGGTTGGGAGACTTTTGATGTTTTTGATGACTGCTTTATTTCATTAGGATTATAGGTCTATTCAAAATGCTTATCTGTAATTGATTTAATTTTTGTACATGATATCTTTCTCTTTGATCATTTGATAAATGTACATAATGTATTTTAATCCCATTTATTCTCTCTCTCACACACACACCCCTTTAACCTCACTTATCTCCCTTCCATTTCAGCCATACACCCCTTCTCCTTGCCAACAAGTCATCCTCCTACTCTCATGTCCTCTTGTGACCCATTTATTTCAAAGTTGAGTGGGGATCAGATAGCAAGGTAGAAAAGGTAGTGTTGGATGGTATAACTCAAACTAAAGACCTTTGGAAAAGTTATGTGGAAACCCCCTACTGAAGAAGCTTCTTAAAGGTGTGTGTGTGTGTGTGTATGTGTGTGTGTGTGTGTTTGTACATGCTTGCATGCATGTATGTGTATTTAAATTGAGTTACCTATAATAAGGGCTATAATGCCTCTCCCAAGTACCAGATGTCATGAAATAAAAATCTCATTCCCATTTATGGTTAACACTTTTAAAGTTGGTGGTCAATGGGGTCCCTTAGGCACCCCCCAAACATTATTTGCTATTACCATTGGCCCTGGTTATCCTCCAGAACTAGATTATAAGACCCGACTATTGAAGACACCACATACTTGAGTCACAAAACATGCAGAAATCAAGCTTTGTATTAACCGTGAAGCTTCAACTCTACTGACTAGCTTTCATAGTGGTAGATGGTATTATGCAAGTCCCTAGGACACAAAATGAATCAACAGTTTTACCAATCTGTTATCTCTACAAGCCACAGTAATGACTGGCCTGGCAAGATAATCCCACTGTTGTAAGTGGCACAAATGCTATGGAAGTAGCCAACCTCTTTCCGCTTGGATTTAATACCTATTCTACAAGACAGAACTCATGTGTGATATCATCAACTAGCCAAAAATCTTGTGACTTGCTAGATCTTTGTCCCTTGGAGAGAACCTAATACTATTATTTTTCAATAGATGAAGTAATAAACTGCCCCATAAACCCATACATTTTTGTCTTTGTACTCATAGATTAGTGTGTGTTTTTCAGCCCTCATCAGAAAAATTTCTTTTTGCATTAGATGGTGATTAATACACAGAGACCTACAACTGGTCAACAAACAAAACATCCTGTGGAAGTCTCAGCTCCAAATAGGACATGTATATTACACACAAACACACACACAGGCATTCATGCACACATGCACAAGCACACATGTACATGGAAGCACAAGGCTTAGGAACCGTCTAGGAAGAGCAAGTACTTGCCCTCTTCTACAAACTTTGTAAGAACAGTACTTAATGGATATGACAAGGCTATTGCACACAACAGTTGTTGTGACTGCACATGATCAAGACAGCCAAAATTCCTAGCCTGGATGAGGGAGGGTGTCATGAAGTAGACTCAGTGGATTTAAAAACAGCACATCAAGGCTTAAAGGGAAAGTGCTGGGTAAGAGTAATTGTAGGAGAGTGAATGGGAGGTGGATTTTATTAAAATATATCCATATATGAAGTTCTCAAACAATTAAAAATGTAAAACTAATGTTGAAAAAGGAATGAACATTTTTAAATAGTAAATTATTGTCAGTATTTGTAAATTGTATTTTAATGCTTTTTATTCCTCCCCAAAAGGGCCAGATGGTCATGTGACTAGATATGATCTGGATTGGCTGGTGAAAAATAGCTATGAAAGGCAGAAACAGAAGGTTATCCAACCTAGAATTTTATGGAACGCTAACCTCTACAAGCAAGCCCAAGTTCCATCTGTTGATTTCAAGAGTTTGTTAGAAACAAATGATGAACTGAAGAAGTTTCTACAGAATTTTCTGCTATATGGAATTGCATTTGTAGAAAATGTCCCTCCTACTCAAGAGCATACAGAGAAATTGGCAGAAAGGATCAGTTTAATCAGGTAATTTACTAACTTTTTGAAATCCATAGTAATTAATTTCTAGAGCATGAGCATCCATTAAAAAATGTAAAAGATCTAGCTCATGGAGATTTTGCCTCAAATGCATTAGGCCCAGGTTCACTATCCAGTACTGCCACCCCTAAATTAATCACTCTATCCCTCCTTCCCTCTCTCCTCTCTCCCCACTACTCTCTCCCCCTCTCTTTTCCTCTGCTCTCCACAGTTACTTCCTCCCCATACTGTTTTCTGCTCAAAGGGGGCCTGAACTTGTACTGCATTTTAAAAATATAGACAGTCTAAAAATCATCCAGTTTTCATCTTCATAGATTCCTAACTCTCAATCATAGATTTGTTGATAATGCTTCTTCATTGGATACACTGTATTGTATTTAATTAGCATAATCACACCTTATATTTTATTTTAACCATTACAACAACCCTTTTAATTATGTTTTATTGTCTGTTCCACTGATATGCACCTGATGGTAAGATACATTCAGTGACTTTTCCAAGATCACTGTGATGGTAAACAGTATACCTTGTGTTTTCTTATCCTAAATAAAGTGTTCTTTTCATTACTATACTCCATTTCACATATATATTGATCTGCATTAAATGTGACATAAGCTTACTTCATTAAAAATAGTTTTTTAATATTTATTATTTTTTCTTATTTTACATATTGATCCCAGTTCCCTCTCCCTCCCATGTCCCCTGACCCCCTCCATCCCATCCCCACCCCCACACTCCACAAGGAGGGTGATGCCTTCCAGGAGGGATCATCAAAATCTGTCAAGTCATTTGGAGTAGTGTCTACGCCCTCCCTCCTGCTTCTAGGCTAAGAGAGTATCCCTCCATGGGGAATGTGCTCCCAAAATTCTTTCATGCACCAGGGATACATCCTGGTTCCACTGTCAGAGGTCAATATTTGCTTTTTTATTGAAAAAAATTCAGGTGTAACTAGTTCATTGTGTTCCCAAAGTATCAAAGTATGGTGAATCATTTGGACAGAACTATTAGAGTATAATCAATAGCACTTATGAACCATTTAGTTTTAAACACAGTTACAAAGCTCACAAATAAAGGAAACTGCTGCTAAGTAAGCAATTGAGGAGGTTTGGAAACTTTTATTTTAAACATAAAACCATTTCCTGTTTGTTCTCGGATTTAAATAACTCTGAAAGCTAAACAATTAAAGTATCATTTCCTCAAATCTAGGTGTGGTGGTTGTAGTCCTTTAATCCCAGAACCTGGTAGGCAGGAGCAGATGAATTTCTGAGTTCAAGACCAGCCTGGTCTAAAGAGTGAGATTCACAATAGACAGGGTTGCACAGCGAAATCCATCTTAAAATATCAAAAATAAAAGTATCCTTTCCTCAGATCTGGACCCAGTGAGAAAATACAAAATCAAATCTATTATTCTACAGGTGAAATACAATATAGCAAGTCTCATAATTGTAACAAAAATATCATTTTCTCTTTTTCTTGTTCCTCTGTGTTCAAAAGATTAAATGAAAACAAACACCTGTATGACATATGAATAATATGGAAACTCTTTTGTCACCTTTAATTATTAGATTATCTAATATACTAGGACTATTGAAAAATCTGAATATTGATTAAAGACAGTAGTTGTTATATAAATTAATTAAAATTGTCACTTACTACAAGCAGTCACATCATTATTTCTATAAAAGGAAAGTAAACACAGGTCATACTGTAAGGAGTAGGGTTTTTCCTCCCGCTGCTGGTCTGGTCCCACCGCCCCAATTAACACATTGAGACTCTGTATTTGATATAATTCTGTTGGCCCGTTACTTGTTTCTTATTGGCTAGGTCTGTCTTAAGTATTAACCCATTTCTGTTAATCTAATATTTCCACGTGATCTTCTCTTACCGGGGAGCCGGCCGGCAATCTGCTTTCTCCAGACTCTTCCTTATTACTTCCTCTTTCCTCCTCATCTCCTAGTCCCTCCTATCTTGCTTTCTTATTGACCAACAGTGCTTTATTATTAACCAGTATGAGAAACATATATACATAATGGCATCTCCCATCAGAATACCCTTGAATGAAGAGGCTATTAAAATAGTCAGAAAAGCAATGGATAGTGAAACCTGAGTTTTCAGAATGTGCAGTGTTTTAAGGGATTTTCAGTTTGCCTTCCCAGAGTGTCAATTAGTGACAGAATTTTCAAGACTGGTATTTTTCAATGTGAATTTCACCTTATAGATATCAATCCATAACAATAATTACATATACATATATATGTATATATATACACACACCTATATATACATATATATATATATATTTGTGTTTATATACATATATATTAAGAGGAAACAATGACAAATGAAACTACAAATACTACAATTAAATATTACTTTAAAATGAAAAATTACAAATATCTAATAGGGATTTTTTCCATGATTTTACTTGGCAGAGAAACCATCTATGGAAGGATGTGGTATTTTACTTCAGATTTTTCCAGAGGTGACACTGCATACACCAAGTTAGCTCTAGATCGGCACACTGACACTACCTACTTCCAAGAGCCCTGTGGGTAAGTGTATTAGACTTTTCCATTGTAGTGTTCTTCTAGTTGATGGTCTTCAATAGTTTCTTAATCATCTTCCATTCTTTTTCAATGAAGATCATGCTTACTTATTGTGGACTTATATGAGTGTTTCTTTGTCTTCCCTTGGAAACATAGTCATTTTAAAATATTCTAGTTCAGTCTTCAATAAACTTTTAGGAATAAAATTTGTATTTAAAATATAACACATATACATGTGTGTATGTGGGAAAGGACAGACACTTGCTTACTCTGTATCCCTGGCTGCTCTGTCCTAGAATTGGAATTAAATATGTAGCCTATCTTGAGCAATCCTTCTGTTCCAGACTTTTAACCCATTATACAGGACTACAATATTTTCTCAAAGTAATTACAACTCACCAAAAAGTTAGCTAACTATAAACTTTAAAAATTACATTTTTGGCGTGGTGTCAGAGGCCTTTAATTCCAGAACTCAGGAGGTAGAGGCATATGGATCTTACTGAATCCAGAGACAGCTAGGGCTCAATAATAAGAATTTATTTATTAAAAAATTATATTTTCTTGCATTCAGTTACTGTGTTATAACAGTACTATACAGTTACTGTGTTATAACAGTACTATAAACATTGCTGTAATTAGTGTGCTATCAAGAAAACTGAATCTATCTTACACAAAGTTGGAGAAGAGAAATGGCTGAAAATTAATTTCTTTCATAATCAATCAGTAGCTATATACTAATAGGCATATACTATATTAAAATTCCTTACTATGTGCTACTTAATAAAGGCCTCTATGCATATTACTTTCTGGTTGTTGATCTTGCTTCAGCATACAAATTATGAGCCTAAGACAACAATAATAGTTAAATGATTGTACATGTACAGGTGGTGTTAAAATAATACTAGGAAAAGAGTTATGGTGCCTAGCTGAATACTGTTACATTGGTTTATTTGAAGAGTTTATATCTTAAGAATATTTTTGGGTCAGTGAGATGGCTCAGATGGTTAAGATACTTGTTACCAAACTTGATAACCTGAGTTTAGTTCCTGGGACATCCACATGGGGGAATGGGAGAACATATTCCCACAAGTTTTCTTCTGGCCTCCACACATATACTATGGTATGCACATGTGTGCACATTCTATGACCAACACCAGAGATAGACAACTATGTTTCCCTTTTACCTTTTCTAATCAATTATAAAGACTGAGTATATTTGCAGCATAGTGATAGTGGTGAAGAGTTAAGTCTGTGATATCAACTAGACTTTGATCTGCAACCCAGTCTGAATATGTATTATTAGCTTTTTGAAATTGAGCATGTAAGTTAATATCTTCAAGCTACCATATCTTCAAAATGAGATTATAAATACAATCTATCTATTAATGTTAACAATGGATTAAATTTTGTAATAAATTGAAAACACTTCAAATTCTGTTTAACACATACTAAGTATTCAGTAAGGATTAGGTGTCATTACCACTTTAGTTATTATAGTCACCACTATCATCTTCATTTTTTGTATGCCTATCCTTTCTTAGCCACCTTTGCTCTGGATGTCATCATTACTTCAGCTGGAGAATTTCCTCTATCTTTGTCCTTCCCATAACTGTTGACTTCTTATCAGTGAATTTTCATTAATTCTCTACTTTTGAATATTTGTCTAGACTCTGTATTCCTTTTTCTATATTTTATAGCTAAGCTTTTTTTAAAAATCTGCATTTCATACCTTATGGAGATTATTATTAGCATGCATTAAGTGTAAGCTCATTCTTACATGTTTATAATATACTTTAATCATATTCATTCCTTCTTACCTATTATTATAATTCTTACCTATCTACACTTCCTTCTCTCTGTTTTATTATCCCTGGTAGCCACTTTCAGTTTCATGTCTTTTTTCAACTTACCTACCGTATATTCAATAAAACATTTAATAATTGTAGTTGTGGGATTGACTTACTTTGCAGTTCTGTACATTTTCCATCAAGTGACATATTTTCATACTTTTTATTATTTTTATTCATTTTATACAGTTCTCCCTCCAGTCCTCCCACTTGTCCTTAACCCCCAAATGACCTACCATCCACACCTCAGAAATGGTAAGGCCTACCATGGAGAGTCAACAAAGCCTGGAACAATAAGTTGAGGCTGGACCAAGACCCCTCCCCTCTTGCATTGAGGCTGAACAAAGCATGCCACCATAGGGAATGAGCTCCAAAAAGCCAGCTCATAGACCAGGGATAGATCCTGGCCCCACTTCCAGGGGTCCCACTAACTGACCAAGCTACAGAACTGTCACCCACATCCAGAGAGCATAGTTCAGGCCTATGCAGGTTCCCCAGCTGTTCATCTAGAATCCATGAGGTCCTATGAGCTCAGATCAGTTGTCTCTGTAGATTTCCCCATCATGACCTTGACCTCCCCTTGCTCATATACTTCCCCCTCCTTCTCTTGGACTGGACTCCTAGAGCTCAGCTTGGGGTTTGACTGTAGATAATCTGCATCTGCTTCTATCAGTTACTGGATGAAGGTTCTATGATGACAGTTAGGGTAGTACCCACCCTGATTACATAGGCAGGCCAGTTCACATGCACTTTCAACTATTGCTAAGTCAGGGATGATGATGCCTCTGGAAATTCCTTTATTTTACAGGATTGTTTTAGCTATCCTATGCTTTTCCATATAAAGTAAAGTATAATTCTTTCTTTAATTTTTATTTTTTATTTAATTTTTTTCTTATTTTACATATCCATCCCAGTTCTCTCTCCCTCCCATCCTCCCTTACCCCCCCAACAGACATCCCCTCCCATCCTCCACCCACTCCTCAGGGAGGGTGAGGCATTCCATGGGGGAATCATCAAAAGCTGTCAAGTTATTTGGGGTAGTACCTATGCCCTCCCCTGTGTCTCCAGGCTAGGGGATTATCCCTCCATGGGGAATGAGATCCCAAAGTCCTTTCATACACTAGGGATACATCCTGGTTCCATTGTCAGAGGTCCCATAGACTTCCCAGGCCTCCTAAGTGACACCCACATTCAGGGACTCTGTTTCAGTCCTATGCTGGTTTCCCAGCTATCAGTTGGGTCCATGACCTCCCCCTTCTTCAGATCAGCTGTTACTGTGGGTTTCTCCAGCCTGTTCTTGACCCCTTTATTCATCATTCCTCCCTCTCTGCAACTGGATTCCAGGAGTTATGCTCAGTGTTTAGCTGTGGGTGTCTGCTTCTACTTTCCTTAGCTACTGTATGAAGGCTCTAGGATGGCATATAAGGTAGTCTTCAATCTCATTATCAGGGATGGGCTTTTAAGGTAGCCTCTCCACTATTGCTAAGATTGTTAGTTGGGGTCATCCCTGGACATTTCCCTGGTGCCAGATATCTTTTTAAACCTATAATAGCACCCTCTATTATGGTATCTTTCCTTGTTGTCCTTTATTCTTCCCCCAACTCAATCTTCTTGCTCTCTCATGTTCTCCTCTCCCCTCCTCTACTTTTTTTTCTCCTAACTCCCTCTCCCCTCCCCACCCTGCTCCCAACTTGCTCAGGAGATCTTGTCCCTTTCCCCTTCTGTGTGGGATCATATATGTCTCTCTTGGGGTCCTTCTTGCTCCCTAGCTTCTCTGGAGTATGATTCTTTCAAGATCTGTGAAAAATTGTGTTGGGGTTTTGATGGGAATTGCATTGAATCTGTAGATCTGTAGATTGCTTTTGGTAGGATTGCCATTAATTTAGACAGAGCTAGCCAATAAGAAACAAGTAACGGGCCAACAGCATTATATCAAAAAGAGAGAGAGAGAGAGAGAGAGATGCTGCTAAGGAGGGGGGGCCTAGACCCTACTCCAAATGACAGATTTTGATGACCCCTCCTAGAAGGCATCACCCTCCCTGTGGAGTAGGGAAGGGATGGGGTGGGAGGAGTGTGGGGGGACATGGGAGGGAGAGAGGGAGAGGAAAATGGGATTGATATTTAAATAAGAAAAAATAATAAATATATTTTAATTTTAAAAAATAAATAAATGAAAAACAACAACAAAAAAGATTGGCATTTTTATTATGTTATCCTACCTATCCAAGAGAATGGGAGAGTTTTCCATTTTCTGCTATCTTCAATTTCTTGTGTATCATGCCATTTCACTGAAGGTGTTTATCAACCATTGGAGTTCCCAGGTACAATTTTTGAGGTCACTTATGTATATTATCATATCATTGGTAAATAGTGAAAGCTTGACTTCTTCATTTCTGATTTGTATCCCTTGATCCTTTTATTGTCTTATTGCTCTAGCTAGAACTTCGAGTACAATATTGAAGAGATATGGAGAGTGTGGGCAGCCTTGTCTTGTTCCTGATTTTAGTGAAATTGTTGGCTGTCAGCTTTCTGTAAATTGCCATTACTATGTTTAGGTATGTTCCTTGTATTCCTGATCTCTCCAAGACCTTTAGAGTATCCTTTTTCAGCATCCTTTGAGATGTTTATGTGATTTTTTTTTATTTCAGTTTGTTTATTTATTTCAGTTTTTTGTTTCAGTTTGTTTATATGGCAGATTACATTGACAGATTTTCATATGTTGAACCATCTCTGCATCTCTGGTATGAAGCCTACTTGATCATGGTGGATGATTTTTTTTCTTTTTTATTTCATTTTACATTCCAACCACAGTTCTCCCTCCCATGCTTCTTCTCACTACCCCTTGCCTCTTTCCAACAACCTCACCTACCCTCTAGCCCATCCCCAGTCTACTCCTCATGGGTAAGGAGTCCAATTATGACTCACCATAGTCTGGCAAAATAGGTTGGGCCAAGGCCAGACCCCTCTCTTATCCATTAAGACTAAGCATGACATTGACATCCCACTGTAAGGAGTAGGTTTTTTCCTCCCACCGCTGGTCTTGTCCCGCCGCCACGCCAGCCCTAATTAATGCACAGAGACTCTGTATTTGATATAATGCTGTTGGCCAGGTACTAGTTTCTTATCAGCTAGCTCTGTCTTAATTATTAACCCATTTCT